TTTTATGCTAAATTATTTCTCACACCATCATTGTTCTAGCACAGCTGGTTGTCCCACTTGGCTGAAAAGCTGTGCCAAGGCCTGCTACAGCCAAATACACTGGATTACTTTTAAGCTAGATCAGTTTCTCAAGTCAGCTTCCCCCTCAAGCAACTCTGCAGTAAGAAGTGTTTAATGATAGTACTTACACCCAATTAACCCAGATAGAGTTCTCCACCTCCCCTCTCACATTCTCAGCCATAGACTTCTGCCACTTGGCACGGTCCAGTTCCAGAACACACACAATTTTATAAGCCAATGCAAGTAATTAAGATCGCTGAGAACTGACCTAGAAACCACAGAATCACAGAATGCAGTTGAAGTTGGAAGGCATCTCTGGAGGTCATCTAGTCCATCATCCTGCTCAAGCAAGGCCACCTACAACAAGCTGTCCAGAACCATGTCTAGGTGGTTTTTTACTGTCTCCAAGGATGGAGATTCCACAACGTCCCTAAGGCAGCCGGTGCCAGGGCTCAGTCACACTCACAGTGAAAAAGTTCCCAGAAGTTCAGAGAGAGCCTCCTGTGTTACATTGTGGCCATGATCTCATTGGAATTACAGCCCTGGTGGGACAGCTTGCATGACTGGAACACTGTCAGGGACACAGTGCGGTATGCACAGTCCAGGATGTTCCAGTTATGCACCGATGATAACTTTGTGACAGGTGCTGAAGAAACCAGCAAGAAGAGGTGTGCTCCTGTTTCTTGTACTACAAACAAAGAAAGGCTGGTTGTGGATGTGAAGACTGGGGGTGGCTGGCTGCAATGACCATGAGACGGTGGAATTCAGGATGATGTGAGGAAGAAGCAGGGCAGTAAGTAGGCCCTGAACTTCCAGAGTACTAACTTTGGCCCCTTCAAAGACCTACTTGGAGAAATTCCATGGGTTAGGGCTCTAGAAATTAGGAAGGGGTCCAAGAGAGCTCGTTAATATTCAAGCACCACTTCCTCCAAGCTCAAGATGACTGCATCCCTATGAGTAAAAAATCAAGTAGAAGAGGCAAGGGACCTATGTGGATGAGCAGGGAGCTTCCAGAAACACTCAAATGGAAGAGCTAAGCTTACGGGATGTGGAAAAACACATTCTTTGGATGCTCTGCCCTATGCCTATGTCTGTTTGGTACTGGAAAGCCTAGAGCTGGACACAATACTCCAGATGTGGCCTCACCAGCACTGAATACAGGGAAAGGATCACCTCCCTCAGCTTGCTGGTAACATTCCTTCTAATGCAGACCAGGATGCCATTCACCTTCCTTGCCAGAAGGGTACGTTGCTGGCTCATGTTTGATTTCATGTCCACCAGGACCACCCATGGCCCTTCCTGCAGCCTCTGTTTCCAGAAGGTCTGGCCTCAGCATATGTTGGTGTGCAGTGTTGTTCTTCCCAAGGCGCAGGACTTTGCACCTCTCGTGGAACTATGCGAGTTTTCTCCACATCAGCAAGTTGAATCAGCTTGGCTTACAATCAGCTAATCATGAAAAAAGTCACAAGAGACAAGAAGAGTGAAGCAAGAAGTGGACAGGCCCTAGGGGACATAGGAAATAAAGCTCACAATTCAGTGGCAACAAGTTTAAAGTTCAGCTCTGCCATGATGTTCTACTGATGTAAAGCACAGTTTCACAAAAAGAATGTGTGAGGCAGAGAAACAGGTAAACTGCTTAAACAGTGCAGTCAAGATATGCAATCGTGGCCTAAACAAGTATTTTAGTTTTCAAATTCAAGGAATCAGGAAAATATAGACCTTTACAAGCATGGAAAATTTAGAATCAATTGTGGTTCTTAAAATTTGTAGTTTTACCTCCCATGAAGCTCAAACTAATCACAAATTATCCTTGCCTTATATTTGTTCTAAGTAATACTACAGGTAACACTGACAACACAGGGTTGCTAAGACAACCCCTCCCCAAAGCACAAAACACTGTCTGCCTCAGCTTGTCCTGAAAGTGACATTTCTCCCTCTCCAAACACCAAGAATAAACACATCAAGTGTTTCCTCAAAGCACCATACCTGCTGCACAGAAGCTTCTGGTGCAATATGCACATGATGTGGAATTCCATGTTTCCAGACAGTGCTTTAACACTCTCATTTGAGAAGTGTTGAAGCCCCTGCACAGGAAAATGTGAACAGACTGCACATGAACAGTAATATAAAAACATCTACACAGGAGAAAGTCACTACACAACTTTAAGTCCCCGCAACGTGAAAACTTTGAAAATCTTCCTGAACAAGAGTTCTAGAGAGAAAAAAAGTAGGCCTAAACAAAGTACACATCAGCTAAAAAAAGGCACAGTTATTTGTGCAGTAGTTGTACAGTCCTTTCGCTTTCCACAGTAACTCTAAGCCACCTAATTCTCCCCTTACAGACAGATCTGCAGCAAGTTAAACTTCAACTTCACCTGCATAAAGACAGCTATATGGTCTTAATATTTACACACATGAACAGTTCATTCACCCACTGTGGTGCTCAATGACAACAACCACCAAAACCAGATCAACTATAGGTCTTATTTTTACCAGTGTTCATTTGGAGACAGTGCAGATTCTCCAAACAAAACTGAAAACCTAACACTTCAGAAACAACCCAATTATTCTCCCTCAGGGTGTTGCTTTGTTGTAGTGCTAGACTACCTCAGCAGCATAACTGAGCCACTGAAACATATCCTTTGTTTTACTTTTTATAACAACATTCCCTGTCAAGGCATTCACAGCTATCTAGTTTTTTAGAACTATCGAAGTATAAGGAATAATAAAAAGCAAATTGAAGAAGTTTGTTACCAAGTTCAATTATAAAATGGAGCTTTAATGCACTCAGTCATTTTTTAAAATTATTTTTACATAGCAATTATTACAATATTTTAGGTCCTAGAAATAACAAATTATATCTATAAAGGTAATACTCAGAAGGAAGTACTACAGGCAATAAGACTGATCCAAATATTTGTGAACCATGATTCAAGACTAGAACAGAGAAATTATGCATATTGCAGCTCTGTGTATTAAACAAAGCTATTCCTTATTATGGCCCTGATTTGACAGTATGCTTAGAGCATACACAGCTTCATCAGAACAATTTAGGGACTGGAAACCCAGTGCACGTCTAACACACATCTTTTGAAGCGGAAGGCTGTGTGACATAATGCAGGATACTCAGCAGTCCTGCTCCATGTCTGGTTATTAGCTTAATCATAATTTTCGGAACAAAACATCTTAACTGATATTATCTGCCTATATGGAGTTTAAAGCATAGAACATGCTTCTTACCTGTAACTGCTGATACTTTGTTACGTTAATCTTATCTAATGACTTTGCCACACCAGAATGATGGACGGAATCATCTATATATCCCGTGTCTTCAGTTTCAGATGTAGAAGTGCTTTCTACTGTCACTTTCACAGGAATACCTGTCTAGTTACAGCAGAAAAGAAAAACACCACCTCACAGCATTACATCACACAATAAAAATCAAATGTCGAATAGTACTAAAATCTTAAATACAGCTTTTTCCCAGAGTTGCTTACAATGTATATACATTGTCCAGCTATGCAATTTCAAAATAAGTTTGCATAAAACAATATTAAAAAAGTAATATGTCTGTATATATTTGGTATCTATGGAACAGCTGAGATGGCACCTCAGGAGAAGTGTATTTAGGAGAGGGCAAAAAATTCCAGACATGCAGAGGAGGTGGGAACAAAAAGAATGAGAAAGAGCAGAGGGAACACCAGGCTCGGAGGAGGAGGTGCTCCATGGTGGAGCTGAAATCCACATACCAGCACAGGGAAGACCCTATGCCAGAGCCAGAGGAGCTGGGGCCCATGGACAGCCTGTGCTGGAGCAGGTTTTCCCAAAGGCTGCAGCCCCTGGGCAGCCAACGCTAGAGCAGGAGTAAATGTGCTGGCTTCAACAATCATCAGACCCTCCTGTGAGCCAATTCAATTCATTGGAACACATACTTTTCCAGCTTTTCTCTGGAGGATGGGGGTGAGGGTTGAGGGAGTGGAAATGAGACACATAGGAGAAGGAAGGAGGAGGGGATTTTTCCCCCTGCTGGAATGTTTACTATAGCAGTATACAGCTGGGTACAAACATAAGTATGCAGTAGTACAAAAGCAAAAGAGGGAAAGAAAGGAATATGTGCGCAGAACCTTTCAGAGAAAAGTGCTGCTGTTAATTCTAGTTACTGACTCTGGGGAATTGTGCTCACACTTTACCCACCTTGCTCAAAAGGCAAAGAAATCAAAAGATAGTGATACAGAAATGGGAGTAAACTAAGTGTTGAAGAAATGCTGATATATATCTGCACTTCTGTGAGAGAGAAACTTTAAAAGTATGTTCCAGTTTTATCTGTTAGACAGTAAGATTCTATTGAGAACACTTTCATCTTTTTTCAGGCATTCATCTATAAACCATCACATGAGAGAGAGAAAGATTGTACCTGAATCTTTAGTGGTAATTCTTCAGTGCTATCCACTGGCCCTCCTCTAAAGTTAGAAAAGAAAAAAAACACAACAACACTTTTGAGAAAAGAAAGTTTGTAATGTCACTATTGGTACTTCCGTTTCCAAACAGAGGATTCTAGGACAGGTGAAGCAGCAAAAGAGCATCAGACACTGTACTGTATCCCTTTAACACTCACTACGTTCTCATTTTGTTCTGTTAGCATTTCTACTTAATAATGAATTAGAGCAACACGACTGGATGCTAACATTAATATCTTCAATCGACATCTTGCTTAGTTACTGCAGACTAGAGTCAGCAGGAGAATTTGGTGTTCAGCATTTTGAAAAACAAGTATAATCAAAATAGTTATGATAGAACACAGAGTAATTTTTTGTTTAAGTATTTACATAGCCTCCATTTTGAGAGGTCAGTATCTAGGTAATAGATTTAAAAAAGCAACCAAAAACTCTTTCAGAACAAAGCACAATAACAATATTACAGCTTGCATATGTAACAATCCTTCTGTTTTTATTTTACTTCACAGGACTTAGGTGTTTGTGTTGGCTCACACTGGATGCCAAATCAACTATACTATGATCTTATAAAATGAAATTGCATCTTCGGCTATGGTAAGCCTGATGAATCATTCCTAAGATGAACAACTAAGTAAGGTGGGTTTGGTTGTAAGCATATTTTTCTTGCTACATCTGAATATTCCTGTGGTCATCAAATCATATCTTTTTGTGTATTTTAAAAACTTACTGAAATTTTGAGGATGTTGCATAAATTCTATTCATCTAAACAGAAAAAAAAAAATGGATGCAATAGAAAATTCTGTGTGTAACTATCAAATGCATATTTTAAAGAACTAACAGCCCTCTGCTACATTTATAATGCAGGTTTTGTGCTTTCATATTTTCCCTTGCTCTACAAAAACCTCACCTGCATCTCTTTGCACGTTCTGCAGTGCGCCAGGGAAGGAACCCTTTTGCGCCCGGCGGTAGTGGTTTTGGTGAATAACCATCTTTCACAGACAGATTTTTTTTCCCAGGACTTACAGACTTTTTAGATGGTAGTCCTGTATTGAACAGCAAGAATCAGAGAAAAGAGGATTTACTTTGTTATTTACATATAAATTCACAGCTTACTGTTAATAAGTAAAATTTCCTGTGTCATAAAAGGCACTGTAGGAAATCTACTTTTCAGTTTAATTTTGCTGAAGTGTTCAAAAACTTTTGTTTTGCTCCTCAAAAAGAGGGGTGGATAGCTTATGTGCTTGCAATTATAAGCTGACATACTTAAATGCTACATTAGGTTGATGTAAGACGTGGTTATTCAAAAAAGGAAGCAAAGGTTTGCAGCTACAGAGATTTATTCAGATTACTAATTTCAGATACTTAACTCCATTGTCTCAAGCGGGAATTTAGTCCACACAGACAGTAAGGCAGACAATGTGCTTCCAATTGCCCTCTAGTGGCTTTAGTGTGAAGAACATTGGTTTTGTTACTAGCAAAATACTTGAATCTAGAGGTGCCATTCATGTTTATCACTTCTACAGAACACCAGAAAAATTTTCGCTTAAGATGAATAACAATGAAAAGTCACATCCACGAGTCCAGTCTTTTGATACACTATCACTGAAAGCAGATTCAGAATAAACAAGTTGTGTACCCCAGGTTCTGTGTAAGTCCATAACTAACAAACCCAGAAGTCTGTTCACCTACTATTTTATACAGTTAAGCTAGTAACAACTAATAAAAGAACTGATTTTGTAATGGCATACAAATGCATTACTGTGGTAATGAAATTCCAAATTTCAGTTTGTCCTCAACAAAAAAAAAAAAAAAGAATAGCTTTCACCTCCCAACTCCCTCCCTCTCTTGAAAAGAACCAAACGAATATCCTAATAAAAAGCCAAAAATACAACAAAACAAAAAAAACCAGTCACAAATTAACACAACCCCCCAAAAAAAAAACATACCAAAGCTACATTTAAATTAGGCATTTTTTTCATCCACCACCCTGATGGCTACGCGTTTTTTTATACAAAGACTTCCATTTGATCTACACTTACCTCTCTGCCTCCAGATAACTAAAGCAAAGACGAAAGACAGCCAAATGTATTACAGTGAAACGTTTAATGACGTATTAAAAAATGCTGTATTGCAGCTATCAGTACATAATTATAAATATTCACAAGATATATTATTTTAAGCATATTATTTATAATAGGTTTATACGAAGTTAAATAACCTAAATCTTTTTTACATTAGTAAAAAACGCAGGCCTGTTTTTTCTGGCAGAAGACAAGTCTGCTACAGAGAGGTTACCGTGTCAGACGAACTAGGCAACTTACTACTACCAAGCTTCCCTGGAGTGAAAGTTCATGGAAAAGATGCACTCGGAATAAATACAAGCACTGCTTCCACATATTTAAGTCAGTATATCCTACTGTTTTTCCATCCACATATCTAGCAGTACTAAGAAACAAGAGTGAGTTTCCTATGGAAACCACTGATGGTAGAAGACATTACTGGATTAAGAATAAATAGAACATTTTTTGAAGACAAGTATTCTGCAAAACAACGACATTGAGACACATTGTATGTCTTACAGTTAAAACTCTTAAATACTAAAATATTATTTTGTAAACAATACACACTTTAGTCAAAGGAAATAAAAGACAGCATTACCAATGCGAATCGTAGCTTTTCCTTTTCGACCACTTCCCAGGACAATAGTTCTCTTCTTTGGTCTAGTTTTCAAAGCATCCTTGGAAGACGGAGAGGTCAGCCACATATACTGGAATTTATTTATCATTTTTCAGAGAAAGACAGATTGTTTTAGTAACATATCTAAAGAGGTGCTCATTTAAGATTAGAGGGGGGGTCTGTCAGATATATGGAGAAAACTACAGAAAACAGAAAACTTAGTAACAAACCGCAAAACTAGGAAAAAACTAAATCCCACAAAGACCCAATTCCAACACAGATTCAATGCGAGTCTGAGTGATACATTATCAGAAAGGGTTCCCGCACCACTACTGTAAAATGCTGTACAGTATTTTCCTTTCTCCTGTGCAAGACAGTTTTCCTTTTACAGTAAAAAAAGAAAAATTAAAAAAACTATAAAAAGAAAAATCCAGCTTTTGGGTTTTGTTCTCAAAGCTGGCTTGCTAGGAATGAATGGCTCAGGCCAAAGTTCTCCAGAGTCATAAAAGCTTCCTTAACATGCTTTTGAATTACCAAGAAATTCAGTATTTTAAAAAATACAGAGTTTAATTTTCACTGCCTGCAATGAAAATTCATCCTTACACAGTAAACACCTCCATACTAAAACTAAGATGGTAATAATTAAAGGCAATTGCTGTACTTCAAATCTCATTTCCTCATAGGAAGTCCCTACACATAGGCTAAACTTAGCGCAATTGATTCTTCATTTTCTATTAATATGAAATCCAGATCTCTAGCAGTTGCAATAGGTAAAAGGAAAAAAAGAAAAATTCCTTATTAAATGAAATTATTTCAAAGACAGATACTCATTTTCTCCACAACAAAAAATAGAGTAGCACATCATTTTAAAACCTTACAGGTTTGGAGGCAGTACCCAGATGATGAAAGGAAGCCATGTAGATGCTAGCTTACTGTAGCTTAAGCTTGTCTAACGGAATACAAGAAATTAACATCATCTCTTTAAATTTATAAACTTAGTCTGTAATGGATCCTCCAGTAAAAAAAACTGATGGAAAAATCTGAAAAATAACTGAAGGTTTTGTATTATGTTTAAACTTGTTAAAAACAGAAAGAACCACTGTTAGTTACATACGGAATTTAGACTGTCATTAGGACTCTTACAAATACACTCTTAAATAGTTTTTACTTGTACTTTAAAATCGTATAGCTTTTTTGCAGTTCTTGTGGCAACAGAGGTTAGTGGTCAACTGTCTTCATTAGTACCTCTGAAAATTTACTACCTTATTTCCAAGTTTTGTCTCCTTACAAAAAAAAAAAAAACAAACACACCAATACAAACAAAACAAAACCCCAGAAAACACCACACTGCCAACACTCACACATGACAAAACAAACCCTCCCACTGCACACTTTTGGTATAAAGAACATCATTTCAATATAGAGCTACCCCAAACAAACTCAGCCGTTATGTTTTTCTTCGTTACATCCAGGGTTCTGCAACTGAGGTCAAAACTAACTGTAAATCCTAGATAAGGGTAGTAAATGTGTCAGTTTCAAAAGAATAAAAACCTCAACATCAAATGTTTGTGTTCACCTTGCTAAACAGGTGGATTATACCTTTTTGAGTGTTTGCACTGTTCCCATGATGAGCATAAAATTTATTGACAACATCCTACTCACAAAGCTTACAAAATAAAGTCTGGTTTTATTTGTGGAAGAAAAATTACTTAGCAAGCTGGTGGTCAGTCCTTCATTCTTCTTCTTGGAGGTATGAAGCACTACTCCAGTAAGAGTAATTATCAATAAGACTTAAGGTATTGCACTATCTGGATAAATATAAACCAAGTGTCTTGAGTGATCTCTTAGTGGGAGCTTCCCAAAGAAGTATTTAAACAGTATACGTAATAACAAATGGCCCAGGTATTCCGTTTATGCAAGTTACTGTAAACTCCGTATGGGCTACTAGGTAAAGACGGTAAGGAATATCGCACTTTAAATATAAACCGTGGTTTCTTAGATGATTAGAATTGGATAGTCTTGAGTAACTTAGAAAAAATCTTAACTGTGTAAATTATTGACAAAAAATAAGCTTCAAAATATATTAAGATTTAAATTTTAAGTTGTGATTTTCTTTTTCAATGAACAGTTATTACCATATTAACAAGACAGACACACGTAGGAGAAAACCTTCCAAAAATCCAGCAGCAACATTAGCTTAAAATTCTATGGTAATGCCCAAGTATACACAAACGTATCCATTTTTCTTCCATTAAATGGATACCCTGGCTTTATTACATGTTACACCTTAAATTAGATAAGAAGTAATACAAAATGCCCAATGCAATATTATACTGCTGCTATGATTTTTAGTTCTTCCCTTCATAGTGTTTTTTATTTATTTCTCAAGAGCATAAGTCAGACTTGTTTATAACTTGAATAGCTGTTTTAGATTAATTCTGAACAACATTGCCCTTCAAAAAAAAAAAAAAGGCAGTGACAGCTACAAAGGAAACCTCAAACTCATTTCAAAATGCTTAACACATACCTCTGAATTAGCACTACTTCCATTGGTAATAACTCTTTCAATAATGTTTTTCATCATTACGCGATCTAGAATAAAGGTATCTTATTAGAATCTCCTGTATGAGACAAGTATTTATGCAAGCAAACAGATCATTAGCAGTAAACATTTCCTATCCTGCTCCATTCCATTTCAAAAATGTTTAGCAGAATACTGTTGCTGGCTTTTTTCCTTGGAAGTGGTTTCTTTTCCCCCCCAATTACTAAAAAAAAAAAAAAGTCACCAAAAAAACCCACAAACAGAACAAAGGTTGATACACATACATACCAATTAATGGATTTTTCCTTATGTCAAGTACTACTAATGTTGTATTAGCTTGAAGAGCATCTAATAATAGCCTTGCTCCTTCATCAGATATTCCACACTGCTGTAAATCAAGTGCTAAAATGTTTAAGGAAGTAGAAACAAACAAACAAAAAAAATCAGTGACATAACCTGTATTCAGTATCTGGTACAATCAATCCACACTTGCTGTAAACTTCCATTTCACAGAATATCAAGCATAAGAAAAGAGCACACGATGCTGGCAGCCATGTGTAAAGCCAAGAACATCACTTTCAGATAAGAAAACTAGAAATTTAAATCAATATTACAGATCAACATTAAGAAATAACTGCTATACAACTGCAAAGGAAAGAATACATAAATGACAGTTAAGTCACTGTTCTTGATAATTCTTAGCAGATACAATATTATCAGGCACCAATTAAGTCAACCGCCCAAAGTAACATCGTATGTACAAACACACAACTGTTATCCAGAAAGTCTGGGGCAATGCTTCTAGAAGTTCATTGCTTATACACATCAATAAACTATGTGGTTGCCATGAAATAACTATCACAGCTTTAGCGCTTATTTTGTATTGGGCTGGGCAGTATTGGAGCACTGTTGAGGCTGGAAAGGACCTTTGGAGACCATCCTGCTTAACACCCCTGCTGAAGCAGGTTCGCTTAAAGACAGTTGCCCCATACCATATTCACACAGCTTTTAAAGACCTCCAAGGATGAAGATGACTACAACCACTGTGGGAAGCCTGTGCCAGTGTTCAGTCACCCTCACAGTAAGACAGTGTTTCCTAACGATCAAGGAGGAGCCTCCAGAGTTTCAATCCATACCCACTTCCTCTTGCCCTGTCACCAGGCACCACTGGAAAGAGCCTGGCTCCATCTTCTTTACAGCCTCCCTGCAGATACTTTTATACTTTGATGAGACCTACCCTGATCTTTCTCTTCTCCAGGCTCGATAGTCCCAGCTCTCTCATGAAATGAGAATTCCAGTAATCCCTTCATCATCTTAGCGGCTCTTTGCTCAACGCTCTCCCATAGCTCCAGCACTCTCTTGTACAGAGAAGCCAAGGTCTGGCCTCACCAGTACTGAGTCCAGAGGAAGAATCACTTCCTCTTGACCTGCTTGCAAGTCTCTGCCTAATGCAGCCCAGATCACCACTAGCCTCCTTTGCCACAAAGGCATTTTGATGTCTTATGATCAGCTTGTGGTCCACCAGGACCTCGATGACTCTTTCTGCAAAGCTACTTTCCAGCGACCTAGCTAAATGTTCTGGTGCATGTGCTTATTCCTGCCCAGGTGCAGGACTTTGTACTTCCTTTTGTTAAACTTCATGAGGTTCCCAACAGCCCATTTCTCCAGCCTGTTGAGATTGTTCTGGTTGGCAGCATATCCCAACCATCCTAGGGATCTAAGTAAGGCTGACTAGCCTGTAGTTGCCCCAGTCCTTCTTCCCAAATTTTTTGAACATAGGAGTGACATTTGCTATCCTCTGCTCCTCAGGCACACCTCCCAGTCACCATGATCCTTTGAAGATTATCGAGAGTGGCTTCAAAATCGCATCAGCCATCTACCTCAGCACTTGCAGAAGCCAACAGATCCCATCAGGGCCTTTGGTTTTCTGTATGTCCAGTTTGCTTAACCATTCTCTAACCTGATCCGCTTCCATTAGTATGCATGCTCTCTGTACACCTTGCTCAAACTTTAAAAAATTTCAACATAATAGGTATTTGATTCCATGTACTTAGTAATTTTGTACAGATAAACTGTAGAAGAAAATACCTCTCCAAAATACTAGAGGACGATACCAGATTACAATAGTAATTGGATATCTGGACAATTCAAATAGGAAGATAAATTTATTTTAAAAAAAATATTACTCTTTCCTAGCTAAATAGTTCAAGTTACTTTGCTAGCTACATTTGCTATAACTGACAATTTTAAGTTTTCTGCCCGCCACCGCTCTATCTCTAAGAATCAGCATTTGACAATACCTTTCAGCCAAAGGTCCTCTGCTAGACACTCTGCAAAGGCACTTGCTCCCCTGTCCCCAACAAGCATGTTGCCGTTGAACGTAACCCGCCTCAAGCCAGTCATGTAGTCGAGGTCAGGCCACCTGTAGCGCAGGCTCCCAGCCCAGGCCTCGCTGTGTCTCCTCATGGCCTGGTGCTGGGCAAGCAAAGCAGCCGTTAGTTACCAGGGCAAAGGCAAACCCGCCTCTGGCGACAAGATCACCAGTCACCCTGGTCACAACCGAGGTTTAGCGGCTGGAGCGCTGACATATGAAACACCATTACAGAATTTCTGTGTTCAAGAAATACAACTAGTTTTTCAACGTTAGCCAAGTCATGTTTGTTCTGATCATCCAATCTGCAATGCAAATTATGAAATATGGCTACAAAATTACTATCTTGTTTTGGCAGAGAGATAATTTCATTGAAACAAAACACATTGAAAGTATGTGCTTTCAAGCAAACCCCTGCTGACATTACTTAGAACGCTGTACTAGCCAGAAGCTTACTAATCAGTTAATTAGTAGCTTCTAAACTGTAAACTCAATTATTCTTACCCAATGCTACTTAAGACATTTTTCAAAATTTGTGACAACAAAAGTGGACCCTAAAACAGCTGTCAGACAGCTACAGCCCTAATGCTCATTTAAAGAAAACACGCCAGTCTGAACTGTTGTTTCACAGATGTTTACTAAGAAATACTGTATTTAAATCCAACACCAGTAAACTAGGCTACTCTTGGCATATAAAGTCACAAATTTCAGGAAGACTATTTACATACTTTCAGTTTTCACATGTGCTGCTCACAAATGGACTTAGAGCGTGGAAGTAAAAAAAAAAAAAAAACAACCATAAAATCAGATATATTGAAGGTCTCATGAACATTTGGTTCAAAGAAAGGTGACCAAATTACCTTTAATACTTTTGCCATATGTTCTGCTCCTCGCCATGTGAGGCTACATCCTGTGAAGTTTACACATTTGATAACAGCAGAATTCTTAACACTCTGACAGATTGCTGAAGAAAAAAAAAGCATGCACATTACCTACACACGCCACAGCCAGATTATCAGGACACACTTTTTAACTACCATATTAGGAAGCTAAATCAGGTTTAATAGGTAAAAGACTTTACAAGGAACTAGTGTTTAAATAATTTAAAATATACTTTATATTTCAAGTGCTTTAAGATTATATGTTCTACTACAAGTGTTTAGCAAAGACTATCTAGAACTTATTTTATTTCCATTTACTTATGTAAACATGAATAAATCAAGAAAGAGATAACCTCAAACAAATACAATGACTGTTCTTTTAAATAAAAGCATAGAAATCATTGTAAAGTAATATGGCTACTTACTAATGTCAAGTGAAGAAATTTGAGTCTTTAATGTTAAGTAATGTAGAATAAACTGAATATTGTTATTTTAGAATAAACTGAATATTGTTATTTTAATCATCATAGACAAATTTAAAACAGGAATGGAAATACTGAAAAACTTACCTATTTAAAAGACTAAAAAAGATAAAAGTATATTTACGCATTTTCAGTCTGCAACTTACTTTCTAATCCTCCATCACCAATTGGACAGTGGGCCAAGGAGACACTCTCCAGACACAGAGCTGTGGCCAGGCCCTTCAGAATGAAAACGTTGGTTAACGAGCTTGAAAAGCAACAATGCAGACAAAAGACCAAGTCACCCAAACTGTTCAGAACTCTGTTCTCCCTACAAGAAACTCTAGGGGTTTCAGAGAAAGGTCAAAATAAGTGAACCTTAAAGCTCAGTTTAAGCTTTCACCCACTTAGCCCAGGAGAAGCCGTAGCCTCTGGGCAATGAGCAGCAACCTTCTCTCCTAGAAGCCACTCATGGGCACACTGCACAGCATTCCAACAATACATCCTGAAGACCTGTTTCTGTCCCCTTGGTGTCCCACAGATTTCCTTCTGCCACAGCTTTCCTTTCTGTGCCACATGCACAGCAGTTTCAGTCATAAGCAGAAGTTACGTGTCCCAAACACATGCTGGAGACACTGTGAAGGACTATCTAATGAGCCTTCACGAATCAGGGCAAGGGAAGGTTATGTGATTCTGACAGGTTCAGCAAGATTAGGTTATAGTCAATGTCTCAGCAGAAACATTCATACAATGAGTAACACAAAGGCATCTTACTTAGAAGAAGCACATCCTCATCTGCAACAAATATGTATGGAATTTAATTGCTACTTCTCTACGTTCTAAGCATATTTTCCATTTATTTGTACACCGATATATTCTCACCTTTGTTAAAAGTATTAGGTCTCTCTCCCTCAGAAGCAAACCCTGCAGTTCTAAATTTTTTAGTGCATCTGATACACCAAGACAGCCTTTGATAGCTTTGCATAGTTGGCCAGTCAACTCTCTTGATCGAACTGCTGGAATTCTCCTTCTAAAGTAAGTTCTATACCTTTCATGTAAACCTAATAAACAACAAAAATTACACATCAGTAAAGTCTAGTCCCTACTTACTTAAAAGCAATCATAATCACACCTTGCTTTTTTGCTGCTTTTCTTGAATAGCAGTAATTCCTTAGGTATTATAATTCCTCCCCCACGTATACAATCACACAAACGTTTTATGCCATAAATTCTAACATGCACACGTCAACATATTTATCTTTTATTGGCATCACTACAAACCTGATTCTCCAAGACCCTGCTGATGAAAACTCCTTATCCCAATAGAAGTCAGAGTTTTATTATGCCGTATAGCATTCAGGAGTGGTGCCCAGTCAGCAGCTCTGATGCTATCTACAGTTAGATCAAGAGCACCCTGAGCCAGGTTGGCCTTCACAGCTTTCAGTGGGACAGAGCCCTGAAGAGCACAAAGATGTTCATAATGCAGGTAGAAATCCAGCATGCACTGTCTTCTTATTTTGACTGACTCAAACATTTTTCATATGAGGCCTCTCTAAAATAAGGGAAGAAAAAAAATAAACACATTTTTTCCAATGTACAATTGATTTCACAGTACAATCTCAACTCGACATGCATACCCAAACCATAATTTGTTCATGCACACTGTATAGCATCTGTATGTGTTTGATGTGGCAGCTGAAACACTGATGCCTTGTGATGCCCACTACCTGTCTAAGTACAGCTGAACTAACATGGGGTGAAAAAAACCAACAAAACTGCATTTTTACTCACCTCCACAAAAAGGTACACACAAAACACAAAAAAGGCTTAATGTTGAAGCACAAACTGCTGTAAAATTCTTGTTTTCCTCTTAAAACTCAATTTTTTAGTGCTAGGAACTGCAGACTCCTGAATGCCTTGGACACTTCCTGACCCAGCATCAAGGGACACAAATGATTATTCCACAGAGAACTAGTTGTGAGCTTTTCTGCTACTTCGATCAAAAGTCTAAATTCTCATTATACAGAATAAAACATATGTTTTCCTAAATATTTTCACTGTTGCATACCCTATACATTTATCCCAGTAAATTCAGGAAAGCACTTTTCAGGCCTAAGTTTTTGTTGCCCATTAGCAGAACAGTACTCGCCCCCAAGTAAAATGTCTAAATACTGCTGTGGTAATTCCATGGTCTCAGCGGGAATGTTTGAGTAACTCCATGGTCTCAACAGGAATATTTGACCACATATTTAGATCTGTTTATTTATCTATTTAGTTATTACTGAGAACAGCATTAAGTAACCCACACAGGACATCTAACATTTTTCACACTGCAAATATTTTTTCATATTGTTAAAGACTAGAAAGCTTCAGCCAGTCTTCTGAAACACTGTGTATGTCAACATGGGAGAGGAATTACTAGATGTGTAAAAGCATGTGAGTATGGTCTTTTGTAAAAATATCATTTGGGAGGAAAAAAAGTCACAATGTTTACATAACTCTTACTATAATAACAAAAGGAACAGAAGCTCAACTAATAGTTCCTCCTATACCTTGTTATTTCTTTTAGCTCTGATTTACTAGCCTTTAATAATGATAACACTGTAGCAACAGGAATGGAAATGACTAAATTATAATCCAACACTTCAACTTCAGAACGTGACTGCCAAATCGTAAAGAGCCACCGACTTCAGGTGATGCATCAATGTGCAACACATCAGCCTTTTATCTCCAGAGCTTAAGCAATATTCTTTCACCTGAGCACCAGGCCTCTGACTGAAGTAAAGGAGCTCCTGGCCTTAGCACTGAGGTTTAACCCACTTGCAGAGAGAAAGGAAAAGAGTCAAACTAATCAGACTCACAGTAACTTCCCACTGAAAAAGAAGGGGGAAAAAAAAAAAAAAAAAAAAACCCAGCTATATAAACTAGAACTTCTCTGCATGGAAGTTGGTGCACCCAACACAAGCCTAGAAGACCCTGACGGTCTCTGTGGCCAGGGGACAATTATTTACTATCTCTTTCAATACAGAAACAAGAAAAGATCAGATGATACTAGCTGGTGACAAAGTAAAAAGAGAAACAAAGCAAAAAGAGAAACAAAGCACACAGTAAAACTGAGAAATCCAGTAGTATTTTTGAGAGTTTTTAGGAAGGTATAAATTCATGGCAATTCAAGAAACAGCTGGGCAAATTGGGCGGGGGGGGAGGACGTGATTCCACACAGGACCACTGACGACCCTGCAATGGCCATGCCCCACACCCGGGACTCCAACACACGCACAGAACGCTTCACTACATTGTTGCACTCTGTATGAAGCACGGCCTGGTGGTCTGCCAGGGCTGAGCATAGTTTATTTGACCTGTCGGACCACTACACTGAAGTACACGGCACATCATCCACCTAACGTACGCAAACAAACAACTCGCTGGTTCTAACGGGGGTAAAGCAGAGTCCTGACGTTTCGTTCACCCAAGATTGGCACAAACCGAGGGAACCACTTAAGCGCTC